GAGTCAACCTCATTCTATACGTATTATTCATTTCTCTAAAAGTGATGTATATAATCATGACATGTATCATTCTCTTAGAAAATACGAAGTATAGTCTTAAGTATTTTAGTAACCTAATTATAAATTAAAACTTTCTTTGAGTAATCTCAAAATAGTCTTTTCGAAAGTATTTTTGTAAATCGGTCTTACTAAGCATTAATTATTTATGTTGTACTTTATAGTTGAGATTTATTCACTCAGTATCCTGCGTATAAAATGTACGTCTGTTAAATGGATGTTCAATGGAGAAAATTTTGGTATTTTTCAACATTTAAGCGTAGATTAATTTTTCAAAATCACCCTTTCTGATTAGCTTTTTTCCAAATTAGGTCTCTCTGGTAATAATTATAACTTTATCTCAATTGTGCATTTAGGGGTACCCCAATGTTTTGTGTCTCTCTTTTAGCCTCTCAGGTTCACGCTGGTGAATTTCGAATGAGGATGATCTCGCCTCCGATCCCCCCACTTCATATCTATTTAGAATTTTGCCAAAATTCATGTATGAAAAATACGTGATTCTTTTTTTTTTTTTAAATAATTTTTTGTTGTATATATCCCATATGAATACTTTTTTGTGCTTTTTAAAAAGTAGTAGTTGTAACTTCAATGAAGTCAAAAGGGAAATACATATGATTATTTTAAACTTTTTTTTGGAATTTTTCTTTGTGAAAACCCTTGCAACTATATTTGTTTTGGCTTTTCTAAAAATAAATTCATATTAAGTGAAAACAATTGTGGCGGTAAACTACATGTGATTATTATTACATGATAGTTTTTAAAGTTTTATTTCAAAAAAATGTAACTATATTTCTTTTCTTACTTTTTTGAAGATAAATTTACTTGACAATTCAAGCAAAACTCAACTGTAAAATAAACGTGATTGTTTTTAATTTTTACAAAAATAAGTTTCCTGTGAAATATATCAAATTTGACTATAATTTTTTTATTTTGGAAAATAAATTTATTTGATTTTCAGGAATTGAATTTTTGTCCATGCATTTTTTATGAATTTATTTGATATTTTACGAATTAAAATATAAAGATTTTTAATAGTTTACTACTAATATATTTTAAGAAATCTTAGGGGTCAAACATTTTACTCAAAAAATGAAAGTGTTAAAAAATGGAGTTACAAATTCTTTAGATAATCCCCATGAAACCCACAAAAAAATTTACCCGGAGTATTAATATTCTCAATATGAATATATTTTTGAATTTTTCGTTAGACACAAAAAAACATTTTGTTAGTCACAAATATGAATTTGAAATTTTAAGAAAAAGGGTATTGTTTTGATTATAAATAAGTTAGAAATATGAATCTTAAATTCCACTGTTTATTTTAAATTTGATAGAAATGTATTACCAATAATTTATTTTTGAAACTAAGGAATCGTTTCATGTTTGGTAGCACCTATTTTAGAGATAAAAAATATGGCACTTTTATTTTGGAACTTTCTCCATGTTTCAATCCTATTTTGGTTTTTTCCAATAAATTATAGCGGCAGTCAGCACATAAGGCATAAACTCCGTATACAGCTTAAATTGGATCTATGCATATTTTGGTTAAAATTGACGCATCATTCAAGTTTTTAATAGGTGGCGGATGATATGTTAAAATATTACCATGTAGACTCGCCACTTGTTGCAGTCCTATGAGTTTAACTCTTAAATTTAATATATAAAGATAAAGATTGGATCCAAAATAAACCCGACTCCGGTATGTGTGAGTTCTTTGTACTACAACTCCACAAGCATATATTCCCTCAAATTATTTGTCATAATTTGAATTTTATAATAATAATGCAAGTTTAATTTAATTTTAAATAAAAAAACTTAATTTTTTTCTCACAACTTATGTTTAAAGTTAACTTAAAAGTCAAACTAGGACAAGTAGTTTAGGATGGAGAGTGTAACACCCCAACCCGCAAGACTAGAATACAAAGACCAGCGAATCCAGCTTTTACTGCATTAGCATCTAAACACAATAATTTTCAAAACAATTCAAAACATTTTATTCAAAGTATTATCTAAATATCCAGCGGAGTTAACAAAAACGGTGTGGAAGTTTTACGTACTTAATTTAAAACACAACTTTGAGTTCTTTGCCCGAAAACATATTAAATTCAAATATAATATTAAATTAAATAAACTCCTCTAGCCATCTATCCATCTCCTCGTCATCGCTGCCCTCTTGGATTATTTCCTTATTCGTCTTTATTGTTACCTATGTGTAGCAAGAGAACAAACGCCACACGCTCAACATTTCTCCTCAGTGAGAAATATATAACGTTTGACTATACATATAGATGAATTTACTAGCTCATAATTTCGTACAATATCATGCACACAAGTACAACGTCAATAATATCAATAAATTCAAAAATCAAACCTACTTACCCGCATTACCAAATTTACCTCATTCTTAACTTAGGCATATATGACACAGAATTCATATGCAAAACTCATAATCAATCTTCCTTATTTCTAAGCTCACAACTTATCCTAGGTTAAGGTCAATTCTTTAGTCTTTCTAGAGTCCTGGTTCAACCACATCCATGGAAGAACCCGCTCGATACAACGTCATCCAACACTGGCTGGGTGGGACCACATACTCACATCCATGAATAGATCTACGACCCCCGTGCGCATGATTTCCTCAATCGATCATAAGTGCACGCTAGCTCATCACAAGACCAGTAATTTCTAACTGTATTTTTATTTTATTTCTCGGTTTACCTATAGTTCAGCTAGATAGCCTATTCGTATTCAAATTCATAATTCCGTATTCTCAAACTCATACATAATTATGGTAAAGTTCATAAATATACATATTTAACAATTAGTAGCGTAGTGTCCAGTGTAAACACCTTCCACTTACCGTCATACAACACACAAGACACCGCAATCAATCTGGGATTCAGATCGGGACAAACAAACAAGAAAAAGGGCGACTGGGGTCCGACATGGTACCTATTATGTAGACCTGTGCAAACAAGGGTCGGCCCGTTCGGCCCGCCCAGCCCGCCCTTTAAAATGGGCGGATATAGATAATCTTTAATACCCACATGGGCGGGCCGGCCCAAGCCCGAATTGTATTTGAGCAGATCTGGAAGTTACTTTTAGCCCATCCGGGCCAACAGGCCCGCCCATATTCATTAAATACATTTACTTTATTACTCTATTAATTACCTAGACAATATAAATTTTAAAATTTTCTTTAATTCATGTATAATACTACGTAGTTCATATCACTCACCCCTCTTAAACAAAAATCAATAGTTTTTTAATGAATCTATATGATGAGTTTATTAATTATGTAATAATATTTCTATTATGTTTTCTATGTAAATGTGACAAGTGGTAACTTTATTTTAAACATTTGAAAACGAGTTCAATATTTTCTTTTTGATTTTTTTTGTGTAAAAAAGATTTTCTTGATGTTTTATCCGGGCCGAGCGGCCCGGTTGGCAATTCAGCCCGCTAAGGTGGGCGGGTATGGGTGAAGAGTTTAGCCCATCAAATCCGGGCCGGGCCAAGCCCGCCCATGCAAATGGGCTAATAATTTGTATCAAGCCCGGCCCAAATCCGACCCGGATCCTTATTTGCACAGGTCTACTATTATGGTACCCTGGTACCGTCGGGCGATACCCTGGAATCAACGGTCCGTAGCCCTAACCGTCCGAGTGTAGTTACCGCAGAGGAGATTGGCTTGTGGTGGTAGCTAGGGGTGTAAACGAATCGAATCGAAGCGAATACCGATATATTTGAATTTGTATTTGTTTAGTTTTTTCGAATACGAATCCGAATTCGAATATGAGACGAATTCAAAATAAGATTTGAATAAATATTTGATTAATATTCGAATAGTTATCGAATCATAAACGAATATTTGAATAATCATACTATGTAATTTATATGATGGACCAACAACAATTTGTAATTTAACTTACGATACTCTTTATATTATACTATATTCCCTATATAAAAACATTAATACATTTGCATCTTACACAAATTATATTTTATAAAATATAACTATTAAAAATCATATGCTTTAGATTTTTGTGTTATGTTAATTTATTGAATTCTTAGTATTTTAAATACACTTGATACTACTCCGTATATTACTTTGCTTGACTTTTGATGTTGAAAACATGGTCTGTGTATATATGTATATATTCGAATATTCGAATATCATCCGAATCGAATATATCCCTATTTGTATTTGTATTTGATTAATATTCGAATCAAAAATAATATTTGAATTTGAATTTGTATTTGAATAACGCGAATTCGAATCATCATATTCAAATACGAATCACGAATCGAATTTAAAATATTTGATTTGTTTACATCCCTAGTGGTAGCCGGTTCTATTAGGCGGTACCTCGCTACTATCTAGATCAAAAATTAAAGATTAAGCTGAGGAATCGATTCCAAACATACAAAATACTCCCTCCGTCCCTGAGTGTTTGTCCACTTTCATTTTTGCACACCATCCAATGCACTTCTTTAATCCATTTTATCTTGTAATTTGTATATTAAAAAATTATAAAAATTATATATTACTCCCTCCGTCCTATAATGATCTTCTCAGAGCACTATTCCAATTTCACGAGAATTTATATTTATTTGTGTTTTTTCATGGCCTATATGATAAAATAAAATATTCTTGTCACCACTTGTTTTGTTGAACTTTTGGTATAGTTTTTAAATATGTATGTTTTATTTTTTATTTCTATACCAATATTTAAATAAAATAGATTGAAAAAACTTGGGATTTTTCTTCGTTTTGCGAACCGGGAAAATCATTATAGGACGGAGGGAGTAATAATCTATATGTTAAGATGAATCAAACAAGATCACACATGACTATTTTTAGGCTTACACATTGAGAGAATTTGATAAGTCAAAGTACTTAGATGAACAGTTCCAAACATCAAAAGTGGACAAACACTCAGGAACGGATCAAGTATTAATTTATATCGTTACAGAGGCTATTAACACATAATCCACATAAAGAATTGTGGAGTAGTATAAATATTTTTAATCTACACTTATGATTGTTTGGTTGAGATTTAATGGAGTATATATGGAGTATACTTTTTTTGATGTATTGCTACCATTTTTTTATTTAATGGGAAAAAAAGCATATGAAAATTGGAAAGAAAAGAAATTTCAAAGCCCTAAGTATCCATACTCTTGTTGGGCTAGATAACAAGAAGACTCGTGGGCTCCTCCGCCGCCGCCGCCGAAGCTGCTCCTCACGTCCATTAATTGACTCAATGAGAACCGCTTCTTCTGCCTCGGCTCCGGCCTCTGTTTCGGCGCGCTCAGAGACCTTAGCTTAGCCGTGAATGACTGCGTGTTCGCCATGTAACCCGGGCAATCGGAATACGGCCGGATCCAGGCATCCCCGCCGACGCACTTCCCCGGCGAATATCGCCGCCGAGATTGCAGCGGCGAGTTATTAGCAGCCAAGAACTTGCACTCGCCGCCGCCGCCAAGAAATCTCCACTCCGATTCGCATAAACGGCGACGGTCAGGAATCGATAGGCGGCCCGGAGTGAGAGACGGCGGCTGGTAGGGACAATTGTAATCTTCGCCGGAATCCGACACGTCGTCGGTGGTGCTCCTCCACCAGGTCCTTGACGATTTATTCAGCTTGTTGTATAATGTGGGCTCACATTTGCCGACGGGTGAAAGACGGCGGCGAGACCTTTCCGACCTGGCAGCCGCCTGAGATCTGATGAGAGCTTCCAAATAGTAAAGAGTAGCGGCGGCTCTTTTCCGAACTAAATAGCCTCTAATTAGAGCTTGTAGTTTTACTATTCCTTTCAAAGCTCTTAGTGCTTTCCTCGCCTGCAAACCAGTAGGGGTGAGCATGGTACGGTATGGTACGGTATTTGGCTCGTACTGATACCGTACCAAATATTTCGGTTCGGTATGGGATTTTGCTCTGTACCGATCCCGATCCCGAAATATCGGTTCGGGATGGTTCGGTATCGGTATCGGTACAAATCTGGATAAATATACATACCTACTTTACACGTTAATATTTAACAATACCCTTTTATTTTTGAAAATTAAAAGTGAATTTAAATAAAAAAAATATGAAAAATTTAAAAAAATGAATATTTAAATGCAAGAGATGCGTATCAAAACTTAGTTTATATTTCACAAACTAAAAAAATGAATGACAACAAAGGAGTATTTCGAATCTTTGTGAATACTTTTATGTTCATAGACAAATATTAAAACTCAAATAAAAGTATAATTTACACATAATAGAATTTGAACCAAATTTTTTTATTTTAATAATAAATCACTTTCTTATATATTTTTATAATGAGGCCTCATAGTAAAAATATTATAAGATCATATATACAAGCCATGCCCTAAAAGCCATACCCTGCAGTGGAGCATGGCAAGGGCTTATGGCATGGGGCCATTCGGTTCGGTACGGTTCGGTTTCTTCTCGGTATTTTTTCGGTTTGGTATTTTTCGGTTCGGTATTCTCGGTTTTTTCGGGAAATTTCGGTATCGGTTCGGTACTTGCTCACCCCTACAAACCAGGAACTTAGAATTTACTCAGGGGTAAAACTATTTTGAAACTAACCAATTAAACGTACATAATAAATATATTTTTTCATAATGTATGGTCAAAGAGTATCACGGTTTGACTAAAAAAATCAAAACATGAAGAAATTTATACGGAAGGAATATACTACCCCCGTCTCACTATATTCGCTCATTTTTGACATTTAGAACTGTTCATCTAAGCACTTTGACTCATCAAATTCTCTCAATGTGTAAGCTTAAATATAGTCATGTGTGATCTTGTTTGATTTGTCTTAACATATAGATTATTAATATATAATTTCTATAATTTTTTAATATACAAATTACAAGATAAAATGGATTAAAGAAGTGCATTGGATGGTGTGTAAAAATGAAAGTGAACAAATAAAGTGGGACGGGGGGAGTAAAAGATACTCCGTTTGTTTTTTAAAACACTTCCATCCTAATTTTTTATGCACTCCATGAAATACTTTTACTTTCAACTAAAATATCTAAAATACATCCTATATTATGTAGTTTATTACGGGTAACAGTTATTTTGGAGGTATTTTAAATATTTTAATTAGAGTAAAAATATTTTATAGGGTGCGCAAAAAAATTGAGGAGAAGTGTTTTTAAAAGCAGAGAGAGTAATCATTATTTCCAAAATATAAGTGTAACCTGTTTCGATCTTTAAAAAAGAAAATTGTACTATGAAAATGTGATAGTGTATGTTGGCATTCCACAATTTTTTTTCAGACTATATATTGACATTTTTTGTCATTGTAATTCTTATTTTTATACAAAAACATAAAAAATTCATATTTTACATATTTATTGTAAATAATGCTTAAAAATGAAAGCACGAGGAAATAAAAATACCAAATAGCCCCTGAAGAAAGTTTGGATTCGGAGAGCAGCGAAACTCTCCCTATGCCGGACAACTTTTCCTCGGCAGCCGCCGTCAAGTTTCGCCGCCGGCTGGTTGCTGTTCGACTTCTCAGAACCAGAAGGTGGGAAGACGTAATTAGATGTCATTAGCCTGCAGGGCGAATAATAGTCGTCCACCGGGATTTCACCGGAATCCGGCTCATTGTCCGACGTCCGGCGAAAAGCCCAACGTTTTTTCACCTTCATCGCCAGCAACCGTTTCAACCATCTCGTAGCTTTTCCCATTCTCACTCCTAAAAGAGCACACGAGACATTAATTCATTAAGAAATTCAAAGAGTGTAAAATACGGGCAGTACGGTGGTTGTTTAATTCCGAAGTCATCCACAGATTTATAGAGATGAGATTATAAGAAGAATTAAGTGAAATTTGCAATGAATAAGACTAAAAGATAAGTCATTTTCTAATGTAGGACTTAAATTTTTCTTCTTCTTAAATATGACTTAATAATGTCGAGTAAGAAAAATAATGTACAAATGATGCTGGATATTTAGTTCAATAATGACTAATAGATAATGACCGATGATCCTACATTGGGAAATAAAAACATATGGTCATATATTGAGAAAGTCATTATGTTTTAGTTCTATTTAAGTAAATTACCCAAAAATTAATTACTCCCTTGCTTCTTTCCTCAAAAAAAATTAGAAAAATTTACACTTAATAAGATAAAACATAAATCATTTTTCAATGTAAGACTTGAAATTTTTTATTCTCTAAATAGGACTTAATAATGTCTTGCAGGAGGAATAATGTCTAATGGATAATGACCTATGGTTCTACATTGGTAAATAAAAACATATGGTCCTACATTGAGAAAGTATTATATTTTAGTCCTATTTAAGTAAATTACTCCCTCCTTAGTAGAGCTTATCAATATGTGGGCTGTGCCGGATTTCGAGCCGGGCCGATACGCAACATTTAGAGAATTTTTTTAGATCCGAGTCCGACCCGGCCTGTATAGCGGGACTAATAATTGAAGCCTAAGCCCGACCCGCATTATACTCGTGGGCTTCGGGCCGACTCGGTCTGCACGACAATTTTCTAAAATAATTATCAATGTGTGATACGTAGTAAACAATACATAAGAATAAAGATGTATTCATTTTATTAAATATACATATAATTCACTTTTTTCTCGAAGAATGTGTATGTTTATAATAATTTGAAATAGTATTGACCTTTTTATTACTAGTAATATTAATGTTATTATTATTATTTTATTATAATTATACTAATAAAACATATTTTAATTCATTCGGTCCGACTCGTGGCTTGAGCATAAAATCGGAGCCCGACCCTAAAATATACGGGCCACCATTTATAAGGACCAAGTCCGGCTCGTACCCTAAAATGTCAAGCCCTAGCCCGCAATATATTCATTTAATTTGATTTTCTGGAGTTATATTTGATAAATTTTAATCAATAATGAAATGTGGACATTTTCTTTTATTTTCATGGACTACAAGGGTTTTACTTCTTTTTGCAAAAACACTGAAACACATTAGCTTGAACAATGTCCAGTAGGAGTGAGCGTGGTACAGTATGGTACGGTATTTGGTTCGTACCGATACCGTACCAAATATTTTGGTTCGGTATGGGATTTCACACCGTACCGATCCCGATCCCGATCCCGAAGTGTCGGTTCGGTATGGTTCGGGATGGTTCGGTTTCGGTTTCGGTAAATATTGGGTTGAATTTATATACGTACTTAGTTTACACTTTGAAATCTACAAAACTTTTTATTTTTAAAAAATCGAATGGACATTCAAATGAATAAATATAAACAATTGAAAATTTAATAATTATATGCAAGAAGTACTTAAATAATGTAGTTTAATTTATACTTCGTATTTAACAAAAAATTTAACGAATAATAACAAAATAGTATTTCAATAATGTCTGTTAGTTCTTAATATTCGTTTACAAAAAATTAAAATTCATCTATACTTGAACCGACTTTTCAAATCAATTTGTTTTTTAATGAAGAATTATAAAAACATTGTTATTTTTATAACATATTTGTATATATGTTCGGTTCGGGATTTTTCGGTATGGGAAGTTACCTCGTACCGATCCCAAATACTGGACCGACTATTCGGTTCGGTATGGTACGGTTTTTTTCGGTATTTTATCGGTTCGGTAATCTCGGTTTTTTCGGGAAATTTCGGTTTTGGTTCGGTACTTGCTCACCCCTAATGTCCAGGGCGGTGGACATACTTGAACTGACCAGTGGTATTACTTTAGGAAATAAAAATATATGGTACTCCACTCAGAAAGTCACTATATTTTAGTACTATTTAGGTAAATTTATCTTAGTTTTATGGTGTCAAACTGTCAATATAATATTTTCTATAGAATGGGTCTAGATCAATTGATTGTAGAAGAACTTACCTTACATGAGTTATTGAATTTGTAAGATTCATAAAAAGTATTGCTTCATTCAATTCGTATCCTAATATTTGATACATAGGTTATTAGTGACAAAAAAGTTAAGAAATGAAAAAGAAATATTTGCACTAAATAGCACTAAAACTTAAGTCATTTCTCTAAATAGCACTTAAGTTGTTTTATTCCCTAAATAGCACTTAATAATGTCTATAATGACCAGTGATGACAAAAATTTACTTGAATAATGACTAATAGATAATGACTAAAAATGCTACATTGGGGAAAAAAACACACGTAGTGCTATTTAGAGAAAGTTATTATTATGTTTTAGTGCTATTTAGGTAAATTTCTCAATGAAAAATTATACGATTAATACTGATTTTAAAAATAAAAAGCTAAGAGTGAGGGTGAGTCACACAAATATTACAATGATTTAGGACAAAAATAGCTCACATAGAGGAAAATAAAAAGAGATAAAAATACTGAAAAAGAATAGTATAAATTATTTTAAAAAAATATGTGATACGTTAAATAAAATAGTTCCTTAAACTCATTCCAATTTTCTTCTAATTATCAATTCTGTTTTTACAACTTACACAAGAGATCCTAATTGAGGAATATGATGCAACTAATTAAATAACTAATAGAAACAACTATGAGTTGCTAGTTAAAAGTTAAGGTAGACCCAAATTTATTGTATTATTACGAATAATTAATAAGACTTGCTTGATTTTATTTTCTAATTTAAATTATTTACATAATGGTAAGAAAATTTAAAATAAATTTCATACATTAAAAAACTACATTAAATCCTCCGTAAGACAAGAAGTGGGTTGACTATTGTGGATTGTCTACATTACGTATTCACTTCTCTTATGTTTGAGTTAGGATTCTAGTATTACTTTATAATATTTTACTTAAGTTATCTTAAATTTAATTTAGATATAATTAGTGCATAATTAAAAAAGAAAAATTAAATATTTAAAAAACACATCAAATTTTTGATAAGATAGAGGTGACATAATTATTTGATTTTTTTCAAATGATCAATAAAAATATGTTATGAAAGAAGATATAGCCTATGGCTCTTTGTTAGGGTGTTTGAATAAGAATAAAAACATTTATTGGAATGTAAGGTAGTCAAACCTGAGATCGTGGCGGAATGGGCACGAGAGGCATGCATGGTTAGGACAAGACGTATGTTGCATGGTGGCACGGTGTCGACGGCGACGCACCAGGGGCCACATCAGATGAATCGGCCGGAAATAACACGCTGCTTCGTTGATGCTGCCGTGTTTGATCAAAATAATTCTACAACAGTGGCGGCCGCTCTGCTTGATGGCGCAGGCAGGTTCGTTGGGGGCTTCAACAAATTGGTTTCATGTCCCTTGGTGCCGAGATACGTGGAAACGGTGGCTATTAAGGAGGCGCTTTCATGGCTCAAGGAGAAGAATATCCAAGAAGTCTCTATTTTTTCAGATTGTGCTCAAGCGGTTCATGCATTGAGGAATGGCGTGTCAGGTGCTCGGTCGTATCTGAGTGCGTTGGAAGACGAGTGCAAGAATCTTACATATTGTTTTCGTTTTGTTAATTTTTGTCATATCCCTAGACTGTCAAATATGATTGCACACACCCTTGCTAGATTGGCAATCAACGGGTGCCATGATTGGTGGTCCGACCCCCCGCATGATGTACTGCAATATCTTTAATTTATGAAATGTTTGATTTAAAAAAACATTTATTGACTTCAATATTTTCTATGCGTACATTATTACATTAACTTAAATATTTGTGTTTGTTATACATTACATAGCGGGTTTCTATTTTTCTTTACATAGTTAGTAATATACGGCTGATGTATAATACGTCAAAACATACGCTTGTATATAATAAATTAGGATTTTATAAAATACGGCTTACTATGCATATTAAACGTTCGGCATACATATACGGATATGTACGCATTTTAAATGTTTTCTATTTTTAAAATACGTTTTATTTCATGTTTATATATATTATCATATACTCCGGAGTAGTATATGTTAAATTTAACATATTTATCGATTGATAGTCATCTATTTATATTAGGGTAAATAAACAAAATACAAAAAGATTTTTAATTGAAATATTAACGATATATTTTTTCAAATTAGAATCTCTCGATCCAAATACCGCATACATGTTCGAATCATTGTGGAGATATTAACTCTATGCTTCAGCTAATTGGGTGTCAAACAATTATTGGGATATCATTTATTATATTGGAATTCTTAATTAACGAAATATATATGGATGAAGATGGAACCCCCAATTCTCGAGAACTTACCGGAATTTGTAATAATCCGAATCCAAATTCGTTTTCCCTTATTCAATTCCCACAGTTGAAAATTGTTGAAATTGTGTCTTTGTCTAATTGTCTTTTTGACTTAGGCTTCGTTCCGTTCAACTTATTTTTTCTGATCTGATCTGATTCTAATAAGTTCTGATCTGATCTGATTGGATCTGATCTGATCTCATCTGATTATATCTGATCTGATCTGGTCTGATCTGATTAATTATGATTTAATTTAAAATTTCAAATCAATAATTTAATTTGACTTTATAATAACGTTTGAAAATTGTAATGATAATTCATATTATAATATAATCAGTATTTTTTATTTAATGATTATTTTTTAATAAAATAAAAATAGTTAATTCATATATTAGAATAATCATTCATATTATAATGTAATAATATTTTTTATTTTATGATTATTTTTTTGTAAAATTAGAATTATACATTAGAATAAATATTTAATTTAGATATACATTTAAAATTAATTAAATTTAGATAATCAATATATAGAAGAGATAGTATTTTTATTAAAATATCTCATCCTTATAAAAGATCAAAAGTTTAGAAACTCAAATTACAAGTAGCAATAAAAATATATTTTAAAAGTAGAATTAGATTGACAATGTCAATGTAATTTAAAACCAATTTTTCCGACGTCTAATAATTAAGGATTACTTTCTCAGCTTTTTATTTAACCTATTTCTAAAGTTTATTCTTTTTCATTTTTAAGAACAATAATAATAATAATAATAATAATAATAATAATAATAATAATAATAATAATAATAATAATAATAATAATGATGACGATGATGATGATGATGATCATAATAATAATAATAATAATAATAATAATAATAATAATAATAATAATAATAATAATAATAATAATAATAATAATAATAATTCTTGATGAGATCTTATTTTAATAAGTTCTGATCTGATCTAATTGGATCTGATCTGATCTGATTGTATCTGATCTGATCTGATTGGATCTGATCTGATCTGATTGGATCTGATCTGATCTGATATGATCTGATTCGATCTTATCTGATCTGATCTGATTCGATCTGATCTGATCTGGTCTGATCTGGTCTGATCTGATCTGATTTTAATAAGAATAAGAAAAAATAAGTTGAACGGAACGGGGCCTTATATGAAGAAAACTAGGAATTGGGATATACATTCCGGTTGAAAACCCACAATTCTTATGAGAGCATGTAATATGGGACTTGATAGAGACTTGATGGGGTTTGATAGAGTGTAAAGAAATATGACGTGGAGTGATAGAAACATGTGAGTTGTTAGGCTTTGTTGGGAAAATTAACGAAAACTTGGATGAATCGAGAGTCGTGTAAAACACTTTCAGATTGAATATTTTGGTTGTTCAATCCAAAATTCAACCGGATAAAACTCGAAAGTATCAAGAACGAAATATGAAAATTGCTATGAAGATCCGAACTGAAATCCGACCATGGCTTGCAGGAATTTATAAACTTGCGGTGAGAAGGAGAAGACGACATCGCGTCTCTTTCCCAAGACACGCGATCCTTCGCGCGGAACTCTTCAAAAATCGGTGCTATCCTTAGGAAGTTTTCTTTAAAAGAAAATTCAAAAAATAAAATTCCAATTGAATTTTTTTAACATAGCACTTTGCCCAAAATAAAAAAATTTGACCCCAGCCAGGGGCTCTGCCTCTTGGACCCCGCAGGGGCTGCCGCCCCTTGAACTCTGCTCGGGGGCGCTGCCCCCTAATGGGATTTTTATCGTAACAAACTCAATGAAGCGTGCACTCCGCACCACCAAGCTTCTTTGATGATTATTAGGATACCATTGGTCATAGTTTTTCCAATTACACTAAAATATATAACATTCCTCCCCTATTTTTGTGTAATCCTTGATTAACTAAACAAATTCATAGCAAACAACAAACTTATGCATAAATGAAATATCGTGACGATTGAATTTTATCTTAGTACATTACACATTTCAAATATTCGAATATGAGGGTATCACTAAGGATTGAACCCTTTCTATTCATTTTGAATACATGAAGATAATATACACAAAAGTTTACATACTTTAATGTTCTAACTTGACACTATTATTTACTAGCCTTGCGTCCTAATCCTTCATAAGCATATCGAAGCGAAGTCTCTACTTCTTGAAGCGGCTAAACTTCATGCTCATATAGGTAGTCCTCTTTATTCTTGCACCTGCATATGCAATTTTTCAAAAGAACTATTAAGAAGACGTACTTCATCCTCCTAATCTTACAGGTCTGAACACATACTTCGGGATAATATACTTAATGTGTTCCAATTTCCAGATGTTAAGATTTTCCACATTGAATTCATCATCTAATGTCTTATTAGATGGGAATTGGGATTCTTACCATGAGAAATTTAGATAGACTTCAATCCAATCCCTATAGCCGATCTCTGCACAAGGTTTCTACTAACCCTTTGGTTAAATGATCAACCATATTTTGTTGAGTCCTTACAAACTCCACTGATATCACACCATGCATGATGAGCTCTCAAACCATGCTGTGTCTCACACCTAAGTGTCTTGACTTCCCATTGTAAACTTGACTATAAGCCTTAGCCAAAGTAGCTTCACTATCACACCGAATAGATATGGGAGATATTGGTTTTGGCCACAATGGAATGTCATATATCAGATTTCTTAGCCATTCTGCTTCTTTACCGATTGCTGCCAAAGCAACAAACTCAGACTCCATTGTAGAGTTAGTTATGCAAGTTTGTTTCTTTGATGCCCAACCAATTGCACCTCCCCCGAGAAGGAATATCCATATATCCACTCGTGGAAGAATGATCTTCCATATTAGTTATCCAACTCGCATCCAAGTATCCTTCCAAAACTGAAGTCGGTGTAAGTTAAGCCATAATTCATGGTTCCCTTTAAGTATTTAAATACTCGGTTAATAGCTTGCCAATGATGCAAACTAGGATTGCTAGTATACCTACTAAGTTTTCCAACTGCATATGCTATGTGTGGCCTAGTACTTATCATAGCATACATCAAACATCCAATAGCTCGCGAGTATTCTAGTTGAGATACCGCAACACCTTTATTAGGAAAGAACTTTAGACTTGGATCAATAGGAGTACTGACCAGAGAACAATCTTTGAAGTTAAACTTCTTCAAAATCTTCTCAATTTAATATGATTGAGAAATAGAAATGTCATTATTATTTCTCTTGATCCTTATACCTAAGATCACTTCAGCCTCCCCCATGTATTTCATGGCAAACCTAGATGACAAAAATTCCTTGGTGTTATCAACTTGATTTTGGTTAGTACCAAATATTAACATGTCATCTACATATAAGAAAATTATAACTCCTTGTCCAGAAGCATCAAATCTGCTATATACACACTTATCTGCTTGGTTTAATTCAAAACCATTTGACAAAACAACGTCATCAAATTTCTGATGCCATTCTTGCTTTAGACCATAAAGAGATTTCACCAACTTACAAACCTTATTTTCGTTCCCAGGCATGACAAAACCTTCATGTTGTTTCATATATATCTTTTCATCCAATTCACCATTCAAGAATGCCATTTTTACATCCATTTGGTGAATCACTAAGTTGTGTATAGCCGCAAGCGCTAATAACAATCTAATTGTAGAAATTCTAACAACAGGTGCATAGGTATCAAAGAAATCAATGCCTTCTTTTTGTCTAAAACCTTGGATGACCAATTTGGCTTTAACTTATCTATGCTTCCATCAACCTTCATTTTCTTTTTGAAGATCCATTTACATCCTAGAGGTTTGCACCCAGGAGGTAAATCTGTCAATTTCCATGTATTATTTTGCATGATGGAGTCAATTTCATCTTGAATTTCTTCCTTCCAAAATGCAACATCCCTTGAAGCCATAGCTTCATTAAATGTCTTAGGATCTTCCTCAATATTGAAACAATATTGATATTGAAATTCAATCTCATCTCTTGTTCCTTCCATCAAGTAGAGTTGAAAATCATCACCAAAAGGTTTAGGTTTTCTTGTTCTTGTACTTTTCCTTACTTCAACATTTATGGAAGGCACAGTTTGAGAGACCTTTGAAGTAGGGGTCATATCCTTTGATCTGGATATCGAAGTAAATCTTTCTTCATCAAAAATCGCATCTCTTGACTCTATAACTGTGTTTACAGATACAAAGTCATTAGGTTCTATAACATAGAACCTATATGCCTTGGAATGCATAGCATATCCAATGAAGATACAATCTATGCCTTTTTCACCCAAAGTTTTCCTCTTTGGTTCCGTAAGTCTAACAACGACCCTACATCCCCAAACTTTAAGATAACTCAAGTTTGGTGGTTTTTTGTACCAGAGTTCATACGGGGTTGTTTTCATCTTTTTGTTAGGAACTCTATTCAACAAGTAACCGGCCGTTAGCATCGCCTCACCCCAAAATTCTTCGCTTAAGCCCGAATAGGATAACATGGAATTAACCATTTCTTTTAAAGTCCTATTCTGCAACACCATTTTTTTGTGGTGTATAAGGGGCAGTTGTTTGATGTATTATACCAGTACTTTGAAAATATACTGGATCATAATACTCACCTCCCCTATCCGTTCGAAGAATTTTAATCAAGTTACTTTGGTGTAACTCTACCTCTTGCTTATAAATTTTAAATTTATCAAGGGCTTCTTCTTTTGCATGTAACAAATATACAAAGCAAAATCTGGACGCATCATTTATGAAAGTGACTACATATTTTTTATTTCCAAGAGAAGGGGTACCATGTAAGTCACATAAATCACTATGAATAAGATCCAGAATTTTACTTTCCCTACGAACCTCTTTGAATGGTTGTCTCGTTATCTTAGTGAGCGTACAAGTTTTACACTTCTCAATGTTCAAATCAAACGCAGGTATTAAACTCATTTTAGACATATCTTTTAATCTCTTGTAATGAACATGTCCTAGTCTAGCATGCCACTATTCAGATTTATTAGAACCAATGCTAGAACTAGTAGAAGCCATACATATAAATTCATTGAGATAAGATATATCTAAATTTAACTTGAACATACCATTCAAATATCCAAATCCAATAAACGAACCATGTTTAGATAATATATATTTATCAGACTCAATGACTTGTTTATAACCACAATTATTTAATACAATACCAGACACTAAGTTTTTACGAATACGAGGAACAAATAATACATTATTTAATGTTATTGACTTTCCAGAAGTAAACACTAGCCTAACACTTCCAATTCCTTTGATGGGTTCGGTAGACACATTCCCCATGCGCAATGTTGAGCCATCTTCAATTGGCCTTAAAGATGTAAACCAACGTTGATCCTTGCACACATGGGATGTTGCTCCAGAATCTACCCACCATGCAACATCATCATCCTGCATATAAAATGCCTCAAATATTAGTGATACATAATTCTGAACAGAATTATCAATGTTTTCAAAATTCTAACCTTGTTGCATATTTGGGTCCTTCGACCCACTTGGACCGGCTTCTTGTTTTCCTTTGCCAACCCTGCAATCTTTCTTAAAATGCCTGGGTTTACCACACTTCCAACACGCCACCTTTTGTTTCTTGTTGGTGGTGTTCTTGTCGGGCTTGTGTTGCTTCCTTTTTCCAAACTTGTGCTTCGCTTTGGAACCACCATCCTCCACCATATTAACACGATGGTCCAGCAACATCCTTGGATTTGTTGCTTTCTCGAGCCCTCACTGATTCTTCAATCCGAAGATGAGTGCCCAATTGAACCAAAGACATATAATCTTTGTTGTGTTTCAACTCACGTTTATAGTCTTTCCAAAATGGTGGCAACTTATCAATTACATTCGAAACAGAAATACATTCATCTTGTTTCATACCATGTAAATTAAATTGTCCCAAGATATGCACAAGTTCATGATATTGTTCCATAACAGACCTCGAATCAACCATCTTATAATTATTAAAGTCACTAACAAGAAATTTCTTACTTGATGCATCTTCTACCATGTATTTGGATTCAAGAGAATCCCACAACTCTTTTGCGGATTCAACATTCTAATAAATATCGAAGAGGGAATCAGACAAACCGTTTAGAATGTGGCCTATGCACAGAATGTTTTCGTTCTCCCACTTGCAGTGCCTTCTGGCATGTTCAATGGTTTCGTCCTCGCGCTCTTCTGGTTTGGGAGTACTCAGCACATACACGACTTTTAGAGTCGTCAACAGGATCTGCATCTTCTTCTGCCATCTTCGAAAGTCCTGTCCTTGGAAGCCTTCTAGTTTAGCGAAGTTACTGGTTTTGTCCTTCATCGATTCACCGTTTGTCATCTTCAACAAAAATATTCAATCTTTGTTGGGGAAATTAACGAAAACTTGGATGAATCGAGAGTCGTGTAGAACACTTTCAGATTGAATATTTTGGTTGTTCAATCCAAAATTCAATCGGATAAAACTCGAAAGTATCAAGAACGAAATATGAAAATTGCTATGAAGATCCGAACTGAAATCCGACCTTGGCTTGCGAGAATTTATAAACTTGCGGTGAGAAGGAGAAGACGCCATCGCGTCTCTTTCCCAAGACACGCGATCCTTCGCGCGAAACTCTTCAAAAATTGGTGCTATCCTTAGGAAGTTTTCTTTAAAATAAAATTTGAAAAATAAAATTCCAATTGAATTTTTTTAACATAGCACTTTGCCCAAAATAAAAAAAATTTGACCCCAGCCAGGGGCTCTGCCCCTTGGACCCCGCAGGGGCTGCCGCCCCTTGAACCCTGCTCGGGGGCGCTGCCCCCGAACCCCCGCCAAGGGGGCACTGCCCCCTTGGAACCCCCGATGTAACGAGATTTTTATCGTAACAAACTCAATGAAGCATGCACTCCGCACCACCAAACTTTTTTGATGATTATTAGGATACCATTGACCATAGTTTTTCCAATTACACTAAAATATATAATAGGCTTGAGTGAGGGGCGTGACAAGAAAATGATTGGAGTGGAGATCTGAATTAATTTCATTGATTAATGATCCCCAATTATAAGTTGTATTACAACTTATGATCCCTGTGATATGAATGATCCCCAATTATAAGTTGTATTACATATTTAGTCCATACATATCACATATTACTAATTTAGTTTCCAATTATTATATTCATTTCTACGAATGGTCCTTTGTTAACATTTCTGTTAAGAACGTGAATAAAATTGTAAATTCACACTCCTTTCTCTCCTTAATTAAGCTTCCTTCCTCCCCTCACACTCCTTTCCCAACCTTGTTGCTAGGTTTGAAGCTTTAAACCCAAAATTGAAATCATAATGACTTTCCTAATGTAGGACTTAAACTTTTTTATTCCCTAAATAGGACTTAATAATGACCTTGTGGGAGGAATAATGTCCAGTAATGATGGACATTTACTTGAATAATGACTACTCCCTCCGTCCCGGAGTATTCGTCCAGTTTTGACTTTTGGAACTGTTCATCTAAGCACTTTGACTCATCAAATTCTCTCAATGTGTAAGCCTAAATATAGTCATGTGTGATCTTGTTTGATTTGTCTTAACATATAGATTATTAATATATAGTTTCTATAATTTTTTAATATACAAATTACAAGATAAAATGGATAAATTAAAGAAGTGTATTGGATGGTGTGTAAAAATGAAAGTGGACAAATACTCTGGGACGGAGGTAGTACTTGATAATGACCAAAAGTCTTACATTGAGGAATAATGTCCAGTAATGATGGACATTTACATTGAGAACTCTATGTTCATGACAAATACTCTGGGACGCATCTTGTTTTGTAGAACTTCTCATATACTTTTGAATGGTGTAATTTTTACTTTTTATTATTCTACCAATTTGAAATTAAAGTGATTTTAAAAGAGGTGATATTTTGCACGTCGTTCGAAGTGTTGTAAATAAATTGGGACGGATGGAGTAAGTGACATTTGAATGGTTGTAGATTTTTTTAATGTTAGGTTAGAATTGAGTGGTTGTAGATTTTTTTCAGTGTTAGGTGAGATTTGATGGTTAAGTTATTTTTTTATTCTTAGGTGGAGTTTGAGGATGCACTATTTTTTTTACTTTTAAGTGAGATTAAATGGTTGTAGACTTTTTCTAGTACTAATTGGGAATTGAGTGGTTATAAAAACAAATTTTCAGTTTTATTTGAAATTTGATGTTTAAATTATTTTTTTATTATTATATATAGTATCCTTAATGCTCAATTTTCTAAACTCGCAATAATAATGGAAGAAGCTCAAAGGTATACTCCGTATATGTGAGGCCACAAAACCAAAAAAAAGTTATAAACGGTACATCAAGTACCGTTAAGCTCAATTTTTCTGAATTGCACTGGTTGGGAACACTTTTGTGTTTCCTTCACTGATAGGGAATTAATTCGATGAATATCACGCGAAAAGGGATCACGTCCCTGAGTGTCCCTCCAACAAATTGCCGGCGCTTGAATGAGGGAAGTAGTGACGCCCTCCTTCAGGCATGATAAGACTTAGCCTGTAGTCCTGTGCAAATAAGGATCCGGGCCGGATCTGGGCCGGGTTTGATACAAATTATTAGCCCATTTGCATGGGCGGGCTTGGCCCGACCCGGATTTGATGGGCTAAACTCTTTACCCATACCCGCCCACCTTAGCGGGCCGAACTGCCCACCGGGCCGCCCGGCCAGGATAAACAACAAGATAATCTTTTTTACACAAAAAAATCAAAAAGAAAATATTGAACTCGTTTTCAAATGTTTAAAATAAAATTACCACGCGCCACATTTACATAGAAAACATAATAGAAATATTGTTACATAATTAATAAATCCATCATACACATTAATTAAAAGACTATTGATTTTTGTTTAAAAGGGGTGAGTGATATGAACTATTATACATACATGAATTAAAGAAAATTTTAAAATTTATCTTGTCTAGGTAATTAATAATAAAGTAAATGTATTTAATGAATATGGGCGGGCCTGTTGGCCCGGATGGGCTAAAAGTAACTTCCAGATCCGCTCAAATACAATTCGGGCTTGGGCCCGCCCGCTCATATGGGTATTAAAGATTGTCCATATCCGCCCATTTTAAAGGGCGGGCTGGGCGGGCCGGACGGGCCGACCCTTGTTTGCACAGGTCTAATAGCCTGAATAGCAAAGTACCCCTCTACTTTTGAGAGAGTAAGGAATAAAGTTTGGGAACCCAATTTTGCATATGAGTTTGGACACCAAACATAAATACAGATACTAATGGTTGATTAGAAAAATTTGTACTAAATAGGATTAAAACATAAATTATTTTCTAATGTAGGACTTAATTTTTTTGATTTCCTAAATAGGACATAATAATATCTAGTGGGAGGAATAATATCCTGTTATGGTGGACATTTACTTGAATAATGCCTAATGGACAATGACCAATGGTCCTACATTGGGAAATAAAAACATATGGTCCTATATTGAGAAAATTATTATATTTTGGTTCTATTTAGGTAAATTCCTCTATTGATTATTCTTCACTGACAAGAAGCGTAAAATTTAGGAAAAAAGACTAAAGTAGTTAAGTAGGAGTAAAACATTGAAAATATACTTAAATAAGAATTTCATGTTTTTATTTCTGAAATAGGAATTAAAATGGATTACAGTGCCAATCATGACCGTATATATACATCGCCAAAAGGTATTTTGAAATGTCCATATATGTACAATGTCCTATTATTACCGTGCAAACTCCTATTTTATGAATAAAAATATGAAACTCTTATTTGGATACTTATTCCATGTTTGCTTTTATCTAGGGTGATTTCTAAAAATTTAACACGACTTTGACAATAAATTTTTTACAGGCACACAAAGACAATATAATAACTTTTTGTGCACAATAGTTATTATTTGTGGATATGTCAAAATTGTCTCAATTTTTTGCCATTTTTAAAAAAAAAAGTTAAATTGAAAATAAATTTAATAAATTAATAACGTATTATTTTGTGATTTTAGTGATGCGTGGGCCGTGAGCTCATAAAACATTTGGTGTAGATTTAAATGTAAATTTTTTCATAAAGTTTTTTTCATTGTTTAAAAAATTGAATTGAAATTAAATTTAATAAAGTATTGTATTTGTTGTGATTTTAGTGATGCGTGGGAGCTAATAAAACCTTTGATGTAGTTTTAAATGTTTAATTTTTCAAAATTTTTTTCCATTATTTGAAAAATTAAATTGAAAATAAATTTATTGAATTATCGTTTTTTTGGTGTGTGATTTTAGTGATGCGAGGGAGCTCCGTATAAAGTATCCTGGCGGTGGTAACTGTTAAATTTAGGTGAATGACATGTGATGTAAGTTGAATTGAGAGAATATTTTTAGTTCTTTTACTCGTAGAAAACACAATTAGCATGCATGCATGTATGCATGATGGGGGAGAATCTATGTTTGAATAAATTGACGGAATGTTTTCTACATCCTCGAGGCTTTGAATGAAAATGATTTTGGATGTATATACCAGCTTTCATTCATACTTTCAAATTTTAATACTGCACTCCATAATGATTTCATTTTTCCTCTTCTCTTAAAAAGGAATATTAATTGTGATTCGAAATATTTATCGTTTTTAAAATAAAAATTAACAATTTACTTTTAAATATTTTATACGCCTATGCCCAAGTTGGTTTTTTTCATTACATGTTACGAGATCTGAACGATTTTATTTTCAATACACTATATTTGATTATAGATGTATCTAAAATCAAAAAATAAAATTTAAAAATTTAAAAATTAGA